AGAGAGAGAGAGAGAGAGAGAGAGAGAGAGAGAGAGAGAGAGAGAGTATTAAATTTACTACTGTATTGATTAGTTGGATCCGCCACTAAATGCTTCACTTATTTTCTCGCGAAAAATACACTGTTTTAGTATTTATCACACTTTCATTTGCAGGAATTCTTGTATTTATTTTTTACCAAAGAATAATCAAATCATTGAATTCACAGTAAGAGTCAACTAAACATAATTACATATTGCATTAATTATACAGTATTTTGGATGAAAATATATAACTTAACAATTGTTTCAATTAATCTCTTAATTTATATCCGACTGTAATTTCGCCGCAATATAATAATTCGTTCATTAATTTCGGAACGAGTGGTACTTTCGTGGCCTCCGACCGAAAAAAGTGAAATTTATGGACCAAACTCGCGGCCGCTGTCTTGGCCTCCATTAACGCAAATCTCATTCCCACACAATTTCGGGGTCCGATTCCGAAAGGCATGTAAGTATAGGGCACTAATTGGTCACGATTTGAGGGCATAAACCTCTCGGGATTCCAGTGTTCGGGGTTTGGATAATATTCCGGGTAGAGAGAGAGAGAGAGAGAGAGAGAGAGAGAGAGTATTAAATGTACTACTGTACTGATTAGTTGGATGTGCAACTAAATGCTTCACTTATTTTCTCGCGAAAAAATACACTGTTTTAGTGTTTATCACACTTTCATTTGCAGGAATTCTTGTATTTATTTTTACCAAAGAATAATCAAATCATTGAATTCACAGTAAGAGTCAAATAAACATAATTACATATTGTATTAATTATACAGTATTTTGGATGAAAATATATAACTTAACAATTGTTTCAATTAATCTCGTAATTTATATCCGACTGTAATTTCGCCGCAATATAATAATTCGTTCATTACTTTCGGAACGAGTGGTACTTTAGTGGCCTCCGACCGAAAAAAGTGGAATTTATGGACCAAACTCGCGGCCGCTGTCTTGGCCTCCATTAACGCAAACGAGTAAGGGTGTGTTAAAGCCCCAGGCTAAGGCTTTCCGTACATTCATATCCCGTGATTAACCAGTGCTAAACTCCCGTATTTGGAGAGCCCTAAGGTCACAAGCCCCAAACCTATTATAAGGCCCATATGGTGTATAGCGTCAACATTTATGGCCACATTTGTGCCCTTAGGAACAGTTATGCCTGAATCACCTGTTTATGCATATTATATTTAATACATAAAAATACATTTTTCAAACAAATTTATGACAATACATACCTAACGTGTAGTCTTCAGCGGCAACTCTTTCATTAAAAGCCAAAAGAGTATGGAGTCTAAGTGTTTCAGCAATACATGCCTCCAAGTATGGCATTTTAACCACGTTTTCATAGTTATAGTGACCATTGAATTCGCTCACCTCTTCGTATAGCTTTTGCTGACATTCTTCATCCAAAGCTAATCTATAGAAGAGGAACGATAGGAGGGAACTCGTGGTCACATAACCGGCCAATAGGAATATGAAAGACGTGCCCAACACGTCGTCGTCTGAGATATCAATTTTTGGTTTATTTGTCTTTGAATTCTTGAAACCATTCGTGTGATCAAAAATTTGTTCACTTTTATCGCCATCGATATCCTGTTCATCACTCATGTCTAAAGTCTTGTTTTGTGCGTTTAATATAAGTTGTAAATAGTCTTTATGTCCGGAAATATCTGATTTTCGTTGCGATATAATTGTTTTGATCTGAAAACAATATTACAATTAATTTTATATGTAAACAATTATTTTACATTTATAAACCAATTTATCCTATACTTACAGCTGCCTTAAAGTAAGTGCAGGCCCCGGGATCCATAACCGACAGTCCCGTCCATTTGGCAAAGTTGTGAATCTGTGAGGCCATGAGAAACATAAGCCAATCCCTGAGCGATGGCTCCACAATCTTCTGGGCATAAGTGAGGAAATCACACTTTTTTTGTCCGTAAAGCTCTAATTTAGTGCCAAAAGCGCTCTGAGATATCACATCCATTGTTACGTTTGCCATCATTGAGTTAGAGAGAGAGAGAGAAAGAGAGAGAGAGAGAGAGAGAGAGAGAATATTTCATTTTTAAAAATTATATAATTTAAGAAAAAAATTCTAACTAATATAAATTAATATAACTAGTAATATAATTTACTTAAATGGGTAATCTCAATACTTAATCAAAATCACTTTTGTGATGCATTGTGACTAAATCACTTATATTATGCAAAATATTTTACACGACTAACAATAATTAGACATTTAATGCAAAAATTATGGAAATATTTAAAATTTGTGAAAAGGCATAGTTTATACTGTAAGGTAAAGCTGGGATTAAGATGATAATAATATAATAATATAAAACGCATGTAAAATATGTAATTTACAATAAGTCCATCAATAAGAATATAATATATAACCATGTACGTTTTTCACAAATGTAAAATAGCCTTAAAAACCTTGTTTATTATATACAGTATTTTATGTTTTAAAAACATTTCTACAAATTTTTTGCTTTAGACATTGAGATGCCATTTGAAATACTACTGTACTTACTGTGCACTCACTTATTTAATAATGTATTTACAACATGGTGTAAATTGATCATAAAAGAGTTATAAAATAGTTGATTAACTAATACTTCACTTACCATTATGATTGAATCCAAAGATATATAGAGGACATTGTTGACGGGCGGTTGTATTGGGTGGCGTTGAGTCCCAACACAAAATGCTGTCCCAAACGGGCGCACAATGTCCTGCTTTTATTGTGAGACAAATATCATTTTAAAGCAAATATTTAATTGTATACATATTTGTTGAAATGTTTTTGATTTATAGAATTTTAACACAACATATAAAAGTAGAAAACATATCATATTTGTTTTATTAAACGCTTCCGTAACTTCAAGATTGAAATAAATATTTATTTTTAATACATATCACAACGCAATCATTTATTATGGCATCTCTACTACAGATGAGAGAGAGAGAGAGAGAGAGAGAGAAGAAAATTGTGAATAACATAGATACGAATGTAAACTCTAAAGACATTATTATTATTTTTCTTTAAATAAGTTTTATTCCCCAAAAACTTGTGTTTAGTTTTGTGTTTTTCTATCTCTCAAAACGTTAGCCATAATATGATATTTAGTATTATTCTCATGGATTGCAAAAATGTCTGAATTCGTGTAATAAAGTGTGTAAAACAACATTATGTTTGATAGAAGACGTGTTTTGAATAAAATTGAAGTTATTGTTGTTATTTTGTGTGCTTTTTATTTGCAGTATATTTCTAATATGTTAGAGTCGTTACGCATATACTCTTCACATCACTGTTTAGTCCAATCGTTTTGTCAAAGATATCTATTCTTGTCGTGAAATTCATTTGATTAGACTTTTGTCTAACAAATTCCTATGTGTTGTCTAAACCAAATGAATTGCTTTGGAAAAATAATTTTAAATTTTGCATTTTATTTATATTTTTCGTATAGAATTATAAATTGCGAATACTTTCTAAACTTTACTACTATTCCTTCCTTTTGCTATGTCTTTGATTTATATTTCATATCAATAACTAAACTATTTTTAAAACTCCAATAAAATGTTGAGAATATAAAACACGAATCAATCTCTGCTTCAGAATCGGGTATTCAAATGAATTGCTAAAATAAATCTCATTATATTTATACGACTTTTAGGCGCTTATATAACATGTGACGGCGTTTTGCAGTACAATAAATATATTTCACTAATATATACAGACAATTGTGATTATTATGTATTTATTAATCATATTAAATGTCTATTAATTATATCGAGAGGGAGAGAGGAGTGATGCAAAAACTTATTTTAATTAAACAAAAACTAAATAAATTGACTCAAACTATACCACAGACTACTGTAATCTTTGTTTAGGCATTAATAATAAACATTAGACTTAAGCGCCAGAGATATGCTGTAATAATTCATTTTAAAGGGAGGGTTGCTTTAGGCCAACCGGGATCTTATTCATAATAAATCTCATACAACTGGCCAAATATAATACAAAAATGGCATATATAAAGTAGATTGGATAATATTGCAATATATTTCTGTATTGTATTGCAATAATTATATAGTTTTTATAAATGACATTCAATTGTAAGCCTTTAGGCAAACAAATAATATATGGTTTGTGCGAAATAACAATGTTTTTAATATATTTTTCTTTATCTTAAAAAGTTCTTAGAATTAATGTCTAATAATTTGAATATTATTTATAATATAAATCATTGTCTAATAATTTGCATTCTTAGCGCTCGAATGCCGTAAATAAGTTATTACTGTTGAGAGAAAGAAAATATTCACTTGTAATTGAATTAAAGCACAAAAATATTTATTGTAATGAATTCCCGGAATTCACACAATATATGTTATATTCATTGCACAGAATATTTACATGTGTTGTGTTTGAGTGGATTTTGTATGTTATTTACTAAATGTCTTGTTATGGATAACAATAATGGTATTCCGCGCCCACATTATGGCTAATGGGATAAGCCTTATATCGCAAAACCAACACAATTAATATTTAGTATAGAATTTCATTCCTATTTATTAACATTTATTGTTATGATTATTTAACAATTGATCAATAAATTTGAATAATTTATTTATAGCATAAAAATTGCATATAAAATGAGACAAAAAAATATATTAATTTATTATGTCATTTGAAGGAAAAGTATTTTTTGTATGAATGTGCAAATGTTCTCAAATGCAATCACCATAATAAATTGTTTTATAATGCATATAAATTCATAGAATAGAATGTACATGAACATTAAAATTATAAATCCCTATATGTTTTTCAAAAGTAAATCCATAATCCATTGCTGGCAATGTGTGTATTCATGATTTCATATATAATAATATTTATATATAGTATTATATCTGTCGGAATATTACATCAAAAAATCGACAAAATAATCAAATGTCACAAAAACTATCAATTTGTAAGTTATAGAAAAAGATATGGATATAAATATATCTATTTATATACCGTATGTCACGATTTGTGTCATAACTCTCACTAAAATGTCTAATAAAATGCCAATAAATAGAGCACTAAATAGAGTGAACAACTGATATAATATGTTTATCCACCAAATAGTGTATGTCTTTTATTAGAGAATATAGTTTTTTCAATAGTGAACTAAATTCCCTAATTCTCTCCATAGGCTTCTATATTAAAAGCATAATTCAATAAAACTGCTTCTTATTAATACAAATAAAGTTATATTTTACGAAAACTTTTCGACATTTAGTGAAGAGATTTTTTGTTCACTATTACAAGAATTAATTAAATTACAACCGAAATGCAGTTTTATTGTTTTCTCGTTTATTTTCTAAACTCTCTCTCTCTCTCTCTCTCTCTCTCTCTCTCCATAGAACACGCTAAATAGCGACATGTTTTGTACAGTTATCAATGTCTAAAATGTCACTGAACAAGAGAGAGAGAGAGAGAGAGAGAGAGAGAGAGAGAATAATTTGGTATATATTGATAGAGACTGTTGTCACACATATTTACTGTCATATAATATGATAATTAGGTCGACCTCTAAGAGCGAGCCTTACATTTGCATTCATATATTAAGAGAAAGTGAATAGAAATTAATTATTATATTAGATGTAAAGTATGACCAGAGGATCAATATATGAATTATGTAATACTGTATATACAGTGGCGTTTAGCTCACATCACGTTATCAAACAATATTACAATTTATTTTAACCATATTTTATTAAAATATATAACACAAATAAATTGCAATATAACATGATTTACAAAAACAACTTTTAATATACAGTATACATTCTTTTCTCGTTGACTATAATTGAAAATTTATTGCATATAAATGTTTGGTTAGTTTAGTGTATTTGGATGTTTTCATTATAATAATTATTATATAATTTATTCTGTTTAATGAACGATGAGTTTAATAATATGGTTCATGTAAAGTATATTTTTGGCATTTTATAATATTGTACTCTTTTTTAATAAAAAAAAGTAATTAATTTATTATAAATTTTGACACATTTTTAATTTAAAAAGTATAGAAAATTAATTAACTTTTAAATACATAGTCTGACGAAGAAGTTTATGATATATTTTGTCAATATTTAATTATATGTTTATTTATATTTTAATTAACACATACTGTACTGGCAGTGAACAACATTAGGAAACACGTGTTTTTAATCACAAATCAATTAATGTCATTTATATTATAGGGTAGACTGACTATAATAATGATCACTAAAATAATCGCACAATTATAATGCCATTAAAGATCTCAATTAAAATCTAGTTTCTTCTCGCCTACACTTATCGTTCAGCTCTTCTTAAATAACATCTATAATGAGATTCCTTAATGAATAACAAAACATTATAAAGCATTTCTTAGAAGAGAATAATATAAAGAAAATATTTGTCTAAAATGATTGTTGTTATGATGTTATCATATATTGTATCAAATATTAAATATTTTTGACAAAGTTTTTGTATTGAAAATTTGGATGATATAAAACTTGAAGATCGGTTTGCACTGACTATTCACTGAACAGTGAAACTAAAGCAAACACAATATCCAAAAGCGATCTCCAAATGCCTATTGAATTTCAATTGTCTGTTTCATATCTATGTTACAGTATTTTCTTTGAATCAATGGTTTTGATGGCGTTTTGTTACTCCGTTTTACTTAAGAAACCAATTGAATGTAACAAATAATATAAACATTATGAATGTCTACACAATGTGTGCAAATTCTTGGATACATATTCTGCGAAATTCTGTGAATATTGCTCTTAAAAACAACAAATATTTTGTCCGCTTTAGTGTTTTCGCAAAACTATTTTACAAATAATATCCAAATGTTGTCAAGGATTTGAATATTTGTTTGATTTTATGTCAAGAATTTATTAAATATTTGGTGACATATCTTTCAGATTATATTTTTATGTCTATTTTCTATGGTTTCTCAA